AGAAATAGATGAGTTGAGTGAGCAGATAATGAGAATGTTTTAATTAAAATAAATAATGGAAGAATGTTCTCACAAGGTGGTGTCATTGTTTTCTAGTCCACTGTTCAATATAAAACATAAAATAATTTAAAAATACACATATATTAAAAGCCAGAAGCGAGGAGTACATTTAATAAAATTACAGCAACTGGATTTCAGTGCCCAGTTGATTTAATATCACAACTGAAAAGAAACCAGAATGAATCATTAAATAGCAACAACACTCAATAGAGTGCCATGAATTCTGAACTGGGATCAAATTGCATTATGGATTCAAATTTGTCACCCTCTTGTCACAGGGTGACCACCATTGTCACCGGTTAATCTACCGTGGCACAGATTTCTTTACTTGATGCTCCAATTCACACTGCTCAGCTAAGTCACCTTGATTAATCTATGACTTGCATTAAGCAGCTGTTGCATGCAAAAATATATTATTTTGTGTATATAAAATTTCCATCTTCTCACTAGTTATACAGTCAAATGCATAATTCTAACACATTGCATGGTGGTAGTGCTTAATGATCAATTGTTATATATTTAGTTCAAATAGATGAAAACAAGATGAAGTGTGCTTCATTGACATCCTCGCCCTCTCCGAAACCTGGGTCACCCCAGGCGACACCACCTTGGTGTTTAGTTGAGGTGTGGCCTCAACTACAACTAACGGTCCATTGGCAGATTTGACTTCACCATATCAAGACCTACCGCTGCGCTCTTGCCTTCGCCAAATCCTCCTTCTACTCCAAGGTTATCTTGGAGGCAAAGGACAACCCCAGGCTTCTCTTTTCCACCACAAACCGTCTCCTCTGTCCACCTTCCCACGCCTCGCCCATCCTCTCCTCAAACTCCAAGTGGACTTCCTCAAATCCAAAATCGAGCGGATATGTTCAGCCACCTCTGCCCCGTCCAACACCACCCCCACATCACCTCTCCCTCATGATCCACTCCCCACCCATCCCCTCTACAGTCCTTCGACCCTATCTCTCCCTCCTCCCTCACTGCCATCGTTCGCAAACTCAAACCCACCACCTAGTCCCTCGATCCCATCCCCGCCTTCTGTCGACCACTCCATCCTCATACACCGCCTCTCCTCTTTACTTAATATTCACAGACCTGCCCTTGCCTGGTTCGATTCCTATCTCTCTCACCGTCTCCACTTTGTTGCCTCTAACGGTTTCTCCTCCAGCCCCCCGTACTGTCACGTCTGGTGTCCCCCAGGCCTCTGTCCTTGGCCCTCTCCCTTTTAATATCTACATGCTCCCCCTTGATGTCATCATCCGCCCATATGGGGTCAACTTCCAGATGTATGCGGATGACACCCAACTCTGCCTCCACCTATAACTCCAGGACCATTGATGTCCACAGACTGCCTGTCAGCCATCAAGTCCTGGATGAGGGCAAATTTCCTACAGTTGTATGTGAACAAGACTGAGGCCCTCCTGATTGGCTCGCGCCAGCGCCTCAGCACCTCAGGCTCTGGCAGCATCAACCTCCATGGTTGCACACTATAACTCAACAAGCCAGTCAGGATCCTAGGTGTCCTGTTCAACCTTCAACTGTCTTTTCTTCCCCACATCCAAGCTACGACCCGCTCTGCCTTTCCTCACCTCCGTAATATTGCCCCTAACTCACCCCTCAGGCCGCTGAAGCTCTTGTTCATGCCTTCATCACCTCCAGGCTCGACTATGCTAACGCCCTGCTTGTCGGCCTTTCCAACTCCTCCCTCCACAGGCTGCAGATAATCCAGAATTCCTCAGTCCGTGTCCTCTCCCGCACCAAACTCCGTGACCCCATCCCTCCATTCTCGCCCGACTCCATTGGCTTCCTATCCTTCAGAGGATCCAGTTCAAGATCCTGGTCTTCACCTACAAAACCCTCCAAGGCCTTGTCTCACCCTAACTCTGCGACTGCCTAACTCCCTACCAACCCGTCTGCTCCCTTCGCTCAGTCATCCCTGGCCTGCTCCATGACCCTCCCCACCTGCCCCACCATTGGTGGTGGAGCCTTCAGCCACTCTGCCCCCAACCTCTGGAATTCCATCCCCGAATCACTCCTCACCCCCTCCTTAGTCTCCTTCAAGCCCCGCCTCAAAACCCTCCTCTTCAACTATGCCACCGGTCACCCCCATTCCCCTCCCCTCCCTTCTTCCCGCCCCCCCCCCACCCCGACCCCAGCTCGGGGCTGAAATGCTGTACACTGTCCAGTGCCTTGGTACGTCCTCCTGATGTGAAAGGCACTATACAAATGTAATCTTGTTGCTTCATTGTACAAAACAAGGCCACATGAAATTAGTCAAGCTTTTTGGAACCTCACAAGAAATTTCACAGCAAGCTGAGGAAGGTTGATTGAGGTCACTGATGTCCTCATTCTAAGCTCATTGAAAGATGAATTACCAGTGTATTAGTACCAGTGAAAAAATGGGAGTTGAACCAGTCCTGCCAATTCCATCTCACTGTTTACAAGACCGAGACAGCAATCGCAAAGCTATATCAGTGAACTTTCATGGTACTGGAGAAAAGCTAGGGACCAATCCACCAAGAAGGAAACTGAGAAATCAGTTACAACAATTGAGATTGCTCCTTTCCTTTATGACACATTCAATCAACCCTCTCAGAATGAATCATCACTGGATTGGAGTTCTTCGAGAGATTAAAGGCTTGATTATTCATTCAGTTTCACCAGGACGTCCTCAAACTTCCTTCCCGGATGTTGATTATGCTTTTAAAGAAATCGTGTATATCTTAAAATTGCCCTTCATAACCCTGTGAACATGTTGTTTTTCTTGTCCTGCTGGATTGGCGTATTCTCTCTGTTTCAGTTAGCATCATCTGTACATCTCTATAAGTATCCCTCTGAGACATTTTATTCTAAGATGAAAAGCCATATCTTAACCAGTCACTCCTCACAGTTCTTTCCAATAACAATTTCTCTTTTAGAAACATAGGAACAGGAGTAAGCCATTCGTCCCATCGAGCCTGTCTCACCAATTTCAAGATTGTGGATGACCTGCAACTCAACTCCACCACCTCGCCCTATGAATCCCTTTGCTCATTAACCCGAATCAGAGTTTATCTGTCTGGAATGTAGTCTGACTTGACATTCTTGTGTTCAAAATGAACCACCTTGCAATTTTCCCCCATTAAACTCCAATTTCGATAGTTCCACCCATTTTCTTAATTTGTCTATATCCCTCTGCAAATTTCCACTGCCAACCTCACAATTTACCACACCTCCCAATTTAGTATCATCTGCTAGAATAGTCAAGAATAGTTTCAAGAATAAACAATTGAATTGCATCTGGAAATATAATACATTATAACAGATATGCACAAACCTTATTTAAAGGCAAACAAATAAAATAATGTAATAATAATGGAAAATTAAAACAAAATACTTTACAACAAGGAAAATGTTCAAAAAAAGTGATTATTGAAAAATTGAACATGCAGAAACAAAACAAATAATTCCACGATTGCACTGTTGGAAAATGCCAAAGACTGGACTGATTACATAGTAAGTGACTCTTCACTTAATTGGTTCCTTAATAATGTTACAAGATGTAGATGAATTTAATTTATGTAAAATTGATTTTTTTAAAAGATAACTTACATTTAACTATCCTTGTTCCTTATATGTTAATACATGTCTGGAGTCATTTTAGATATCTAATTACTCTGCACATGAGCCGGGCATAAATTGTAACCTTTAACACATTGTAAAAAAAAACTCTGCTCTCAACATTTATGAATTCATTAGACAGTTCTAGTATCTCAGTATTGAAAATCTGTGTCTGGCTTCACTGTTTCAATTAGGGTTTAGTGTTATGAGCACACAATGTTATTAATTATAACCAATGTGTGATGTCCAGCACCGGTTCAATATTAATTAGTAGATGTATTATTTGACTCAAGCAATTAAATTGGCATCAGCAGTCATTAATTCCATATAGGTGACTCTATTGTTAAAAAAACTATTTTCAGTGTAGCTGGATGAAATGAGAAATCTATTTAAAATAGATTTATTTACTTTGTTAAACCTAATGTATATTGAAGTGCATACATTTCCAGTCTTGGAGTTGAATTGTTTCTTACTCAACGCAATCAGCATTTCATACATTCTGCTACAGATGTGCACGTTATTCAGAATTTATTTTTTGTAGTGCAGTGATTGCCATCACATATTTTATTGATGTCTCCTGTTTGCTTTAGTTATTTTCTCTGGTTCTTTCAGCTCTCCCCTGCATCCCACAGCAGTCATTGTCTAGTCGATGAGGTCGATAGAGAATTCAATGTAAAGTTTCTGCAAATAACTGATAGGAGTTGACTGCGGATGATTTATCACCTGATTTACTGGGTCAAATTCTCCTGGGTGCATAGTGAATTGCACGGGATGAGTGCTTCACATGGGTGGTGCCATTCTCCTGGATTTAAAAAAAAATATGTGATCACTCAATCCACGACCGGTTTTGGGGCCACCGCTGGGCGCAATTGGCTGCCGCATTTCCCCCGCAAAGCACACAGCTAATTCACTGTACGACACGTGTAGGTATATTCCGTGAAGCGCTGTCCGACGCCTCGAAGACGAGATAAGGCGCCACATGCAACACCAGATTACGTCTTGGCGTAGACGCCTGTCACGTCGGGGAGGACGTCCCGCTGGCTGGACCCCGGCCGGTCGGTGGGGGGGGAATTGGGGTGGAATCAGGGAGGGGGGTGGGGGGGGTTTGGGTCGAAGGCGACGGTCGGAGAGGAGAAGTGTCTCGAAGGGGGCGAAGGGATTGTAAGGACATATCAAATGCAAGGATTATTATTATTATTATTGTTGTTGTTGTTGTATTGGTGTGGGAGAGAGGGTGAGTGGGGGGAGGGAGGGGCGAGGGGCGGGGCCAGTGACGCGGTCAGTGAGTGACGCGCGCGGGGATGACAGCCGCGCTCTGACGTCTCGGCGGCTCAGACAAGATGGCGGCGCTGGGCGAGGAGCGACGCTTTGGGCTCAACTGCGGGGCGTCCGCCGCCGGTCACCGGCTCTCCCGGTACCACGTCAAGCTGACGGAGACGGCGCTCAGAGCGCTCGAGGCCTATCAGAAGCTGACGGTAGGGTCGTGCGGCTCCCCGGTCTCTTTATCTCGTCTCTTGTCTTTGAGAGGGAGGGAGCGAGGAGACCCCGCGGGTGGGGGGGAGCGAGGAGACCCCGCGGGTGGGGGGAGGGAGTGAGGAGACCCCGCGGGTGGGGGGGAGGGAGTGAGGAGACCCCGCGGGTGGGGGGAGGGAGTGAGGAGACCCCGCGGGTGGGGGGGAGTGAGGAGACCCCGCGGGTGGGGGGGGGGAAGGAGTGAGGAGACCCCGCGGGTGGGGGGGGGAAGGAGTGAGGAGACCCCGCGGGTGGGGGGGGGGAAGGAGTGAGGAGACCCCGCGGGTGGGGGGGGAAGGAGTGAGGAGACCCCGCGGGTGGGGGGGGAGGGAGTGAGGAGACCCCGCGGGGGGGGGGGGGGGAAGTGAGGAGACCCCGCGGGTGGGAGGTGGGGGGGAGGGAGTGAGGAGACCCCGCGGGGGGTGGGTGGGAGTGAGGCGACCCCGCGGGGGTGGGAGGAGACCCCTCGGGGGGTGGGTGGGAGTGAGGAGACCCCGCGGGTGGGGGGGAGGGAGTGAGGAGATCCCTCGGGTGGGGGAGGGAGTGGGGAGACCCCGCGGGGTGGTGGGGGGTTGGATTGAGGAGACACTCGGTTGCCAGAGCTCGGACTTCGTAACGGAAACTTCGGGAGGTGAGTGAAGGAGGGAGGGAGGGAGGGGGGGGGGGGGGGGTGAGGAAGGGAGGGTGTTACAGAGGGTCCGGGGGCTCTCGCCTCAGCCTTTACCGGTTGTTTTGAATTTTACACCAACTTTCTCTCCCCGCTGGAGCCCGGGCGGGGGGGAGAGGAGTGTGTCCGACATTGTGATCTGTCGGGTCGGTGTCGGCTATGTTTGTTTTTAAACTTACCGCCGTCCCTCTCTAAGTCTGGGCTCCTGCACAGTCCGCGGTCACACCCGTGCGCGCTGTTTCGGTGATGTGGGTTGTTTGCGGTGACTGGAGGGGAGGAGAGGGTTTAAAAGGGGGTTTGTTTACCTGTGCGGAGACTCCCTCCACCGACCCTCGTCACTCACTGGCTTCCACACACCGAAACCCTCGAATGCCCGTTTTTAAAATCGCAGCCTTCCTCCCCTCTCCCTCCCTCCCCTCTCCCTCCCTCCTGGCTGACAGAGGATTGAAGCAGGTCATTTTGTCTGTCCGTTGCGGCTCCGCACACCCAGCGGTTTGCTCGGGGTGGGAGGGAGGAGGGGGGTGGGGGCGTGCGGCCACCGTGCGCGTTGGCACTGTCCAGCGGACTGGGTGGAGGTGCTGAGCGGCAGCGCTGTCCGCACTTTGACCAGGTCCAGCCGCCTTCGGTGGCTCGCAGTCATGAGTTAAAGAAAGGGCTGGTCAGTTCGTTTTGTCAGTCATTTCGCCCCCAAAAATGCCCTCCATCCGCGACCAGGTCCTAATTGGGTAACCTGAGACGATGATGATGATGGTGATGATCATTATTTACTGAGTTGGTTGCTGTGCAAAGCCTCAGCTTCGGCTGCTCTGGGTCTTATTGAGGAGTCAGTTGTGGATGTGAATCAGAAGCTTTTGAAATGCTTCCCCCGATCTGTTGAAGCTTTGAATGTTTATGTCAAGTGTTTCTCTGGAGTTATGCTTTCGAATAGTTGTTATTCTCCTAAAACTGACGGGTAGAAATATTCAAGTTGCATTAAAAAGTTGAGAATCCGCTTCACAATTGAATATTTAATATAATAATCCTTGCATTTGATATAGCGCTTTTCACGTCGGGAGGACGTCCCAAAGCGCTTCACAGAACACACTGTAAAGTGAATTGACTGTAAATTTGTGGGCGAACGCGGCAGCCAATTGCGCACAGCAATGTCCCACAAACAGTCGTAGATTGAAAACGTCCCAAGGCTGGACAGAGTATAGCATTTCAGACCTGAGCTGGGGTAGGGAAGGGCATTAAGCTCCTTGTGTCTGTGTTGACTTTTTAAAAGAGTCCCAGTTACCTGCCTTTCCCCACACCCCTGCTTATTTACTCTTTTTTAGATAGCTCTCAAAAGGGAACTAGATAGATATTATGGATTCTGCCTGAACCATCACTCCTGGTAGGGCTTTTCATATCCTAACAACTCTTTGGGTAGTTTGTCTGCCTAAAAGAGAAAATGACTTTCATAATGTAAAACTTTACTTGCAAGTTTTAAAGAATGCTATTTTGCCTTTAGTGTGTGAAAGAAAATGCATCCCGTAATATAAATCTTTTGAATAAAAAAGACGGATTACAATTCTCAATGACACATTTGTTTTTTAGTTGGAATAATAAATTAAACATTCAGTAATTAAACATTCGTAAAGTTTGTACTCTAAATACTGTACACATAGAGTCCAGGCTAATTTTAAAAACAAACCATTTATTTCTCAAAGCTGTCTCTTCCAAAAGCTTATGAAAGTACAATCGGTTGCTCTAATTTATAATATATGCAAATTTTGTAAGTATATTTTAGGTATATTTTATTTTTATTTAGTAGACAGATACGCATCACATAATGTTAATTATGACATTTTTTTGGCCAATTTGCAAAACTCAGGAATTTTTTTTAATACTTAGCTTATTGCAATTTTGTTTTAGTGTGGTTTTTGCAATTTTTTGTCAACCTAAATTGTGGCCTTCCCAATGTTTGTTGCATCCTTTTCAGGCCATTTGAACTTAGCATGCACTAATCATATTTACATTATTGATTTTCTTGCAAGTAGTCCTCTGGTCTGATGAGAGTTGGTTTCCTCTGTCTACATTGAAAATTTCTTAGGTCTCTTCACTCATCAGGCTGCAAACATAAAGTCCAAGCTAATTTTTTTAAATGATCTTTATTTCAGTATAACAAGAACTAAGAGCATTTTATATTGATTTTTACAGCACACGGATTGTCCAGTATTATTTTCCATGCATTTCACTGCTTAATAATTGCAAAAATTTAGGTCAGGAGACTCATAAGCTTCTATTTCAACATAGATATTGAACATATGTAGGGGTGGGGGACAAGGGAGAGAAATGGAATAATAGTAATGCTTGTCATAAAAATAGAAGTTGCTGGGAACATTCAGCAGGTCAGGTAGCATATATGGAGAAAGGAAAGAGTTAACAGGTCAAGTCGATGGCCTTTTGTCAGAACTCTTCTGACATTTCATTATGTCCCTAAGGTTTCTTGCAAAATCTCTCTCCTCCAGTTTATACTGTTCAAATGAGGATGACCTTTGAAACCTTAGGGACATAATCAGTGAAAAGTATAGTAAAAGTATTTCTTTTTTAAATGTTTCTGAAATGTGTTAGCAGCTAAAGTACAAGGTATTGGTATTTTTAAAACTATTTTGATGAGTCATTTTTATCAAATGCACATGTAATCTATGTGACCAGCTGTTTCCATTTGTTGAAGTAGAGTATGATTCTGAGGATTTGATGGGTTTGGCTTGGTTGTGTTAAGTGCTAAAGTGGGTGTGGACTTGGGTCGTGCAGTTTAAACCCATCTGTGTACATCTTCACCATGATGACACACAATTGGGTGCATTACTGATATACTATTCATTTTTGAAATACACTCCCAAATTCAAAAGTTTGGTATATGCTAAATATTCAAGCCTTTAGTGTTAATGCTTATCGCTTTTGAGAACATTTTCAAAGCCATTCACTTTAACATAAACTAATAATATTAATAATAATAATGCTAAAATTAAAAAAACACCTTATCACATTATACTGTAGTAGTTCATAAAGCTAATGGTGTATAGTGAATATGAAATAATTTGGGGTGAGCTTATACAACTCAACAGTATGATTTCTGTTTTAAGAAAACAACCTTATGGGATACTGGTTTAATATATTTTACGACTAAGCCAAAAGTCCATTGATGATTTGGAGAACGAATACACCAACCGAGGATCCTTTTGAAATGTGCTGTTTTTATACTAACTGCTAAGAACCATCAGTTTTTCCATGGTTTGAAAGCCGTTTTTTCTGAGTGTGCAGTTTAATATCTAAATTAATATTGACACTTATTTCCATGGATACTTTTTCTGTAGAAATGTTCACCTGAAGCAATGCATGTGCAATTATAAATACAGTAAATTGTGATAACTCGACTCTAGATGAACTTTTCACAACCACTTAAGTCACCATGTGGTTAATAACCCGGCCGCATTTACTTATGTATTTATATATATGCCTAACTTGCCACTCTGGATAACTCAAGACTCAACCCTTTTCCCCTGGATGAGTTATCGTGAGTTTATAATATTTCTTGTGCATATAGTTTTTGTGTCCATGCAAATTCGATATTGTTGGACAAGGCATATGTTTCATTATCTAGTTATTTTCTATTACATCACATAATTATTACAAAATTACAAGTTTAATGTATTTAAAAATCAACTAAGAATTTCTTGACACTGGTGTCTAAATCAGTGCTAAAATCTATTTTACAGCATAATTTTTAAATACAAAAACATTATATTGGGTTTGTGCCTATTGGAATTCTGTATAAATATATTTTTTTCATTTCCTAGAATTCTTTACCAAACCAACCTGTCATCTGCTTCCAGGAAGGCCGAGGAGTAAGTAATTAAATCTTTACATTAAATTGCACTCAAGTTTCCGTTAGCTTCACAGTCTATAATAAGAGCAAACAAATAGATAATCAACTTTCTGTTAACTTTTCCTGTGTTCTGATCTGCACAATATTTTTTCAACGTGCATTTCTGGTTACTGTGAAATAAGGCTGCCATCCAGGCCTTAGAGGCAATGCAATGTCTGTCCTACTGGATTTGCTTTTTTATACGCTTACGTTACTGTTTCGTAGCTATGTATTACTCCATATAGCAATGTAGTAATCTGAGATAATATTGAATCCAAAATGTTTCAATAATTAATATTTTGGATGGGAAGAACGCAGAATCGTAAAAAAATACAAGAATATAATACAGTATTGCACACAATATAATGACAGAATGACTCAAAGTGCTTCATCGGATTTACTGTCAAGTGTAGTGACTGTGTAATTTGTAGGTGAACGCAGCAGTCCATTTGTGCACAACTATGCCCTACAAACTGCCATGAATATAGGCAGTGCTGATACAGCAGTTGTTGAGATGGTGACAGCATAAAAATCCTGGACTGTAAAACTATTTTACTTAGTTTAACCCAACTCAGTGCATCCTGAGCACTGCATTGGAGTGTCAGCCTAGACTTTTTTTTATTATTGTACTATAATGTTCTTATTCAAGTAACCACTTGCTTTGGTCTTTGTTCAAGCTCATAATTGCGTCAACTCAGTAACCACAAGTATTATTACAAGTAAGGAGTACCGAGAATTATATAAAGTTTAGTTCTGGTTAATAAAGAATTATTAGAAAAATAAGGGGTTAATAGAACCACAGATTGCTGTTATTTTATAGGAAGTTGGTTTGGAGATATTTTTAGGTTATATTTTAAATCAAGAAGTTGCTGATCACTGAGATGTGCTTCATAATCAAACTTTGGCATAGGGAGAGCAGGGATATTGAGTTGTGATTCATTCAGCCCGAGGCAACTGAGCTCTTGATTCTTCTTGCTATAAGTGCAATCCTTGGCACCTTATTTATTGTTGAACCTGGTATCTTTGTATTTGTCTACTGTAAAAACAACTTGGTGTTAAATGAAAATAAAAAAATCTTTTTTTTGCACTTGTTGAGTTTGGGTTGTTTATACTCAATTTTGATATTCCCAAGTGTTTTCTGACAGGCACAATGCTTTAAAGTGGAACTGGTACCTGAAGAAACTGCCATACAGTGCAAACAGCACTTAGCCTGACAGTTTCTTTTGGAGAACTATTTTCTAAACTAGTTTTGCAATGTAAATATGCTTTTAGAATTCAAGCATTTCCAAAATATGTTGAATTTAGTACTTGTATCTGATGTCTAATCCTTGATTGTTAATATCCTGTTATCTGACAGAAAACTTCAGGGAAGGTTTAAATAGAACGGGCTTAGTATTATACTGTATCCTGGAATTGATAAATATATGGTCATGCAGATTCCAAAGCATTGGTGTAAATATAAATGTGTTAAATTGAGATTCATAACATTCCCTGTTTACTTGGGTAGATATTAAAGGCCAGTATTGGCAAAAACACATTTTGCTGGCCTGTGAGGGTGGCAAGCTTAGACCGGCTTTCCGACCCTTAGCCAGAAACATGTGGCCAGTGAACCTGGAGACTTTCAGGAAGAACCATTTATTGTGCTTTTCTGGGTAATGTTGCCCTTGGAGGCAGTGTGAAAATTCAACTTGGCATCAGTAACATAGTTGCTGGCCCCAGTAAACCTGGGATACTTTGAAAGTGAGCCATCTGCCTTTCTGTGGGATGTAATATGATCAGGCAACGATGAGGCCCGTTTGTTACAAAGAGATTTGACAGATTTAGCGTACGCATGACCAAAATAACCTTTCACTTTTAATCTGCCCGTTCACCGTACAAATTCAGTTAAAGTTTTTAGAAAGAACCTCGAAAATCTCAGAGGTGCTATGGTAACTGTCGTCCAATGATTGGTGAAACATTTACTTTTTGATTAGGGTAATTTAAAACCCTCTTATGATGGAATCCCTTTTGTATGTTTTGTTTAACAGAAGGCCCTTGGGGGTGCTTTCAGCTGCTATTTAAAGGTCTGACTAGGGAATTGTGCTGATAGCAGCAACTAGTCATGCAGAGTCAGCCACCTGGAAGCATGACAATACCTGACATGCTGAAACAAAATAAAATCTGAACCTGTAACAACAAGAATAAGATGCTTCAAGCTTTTTTAAGTTGCTGTTGTACAATAGCTTTCCATTGCAGCTTTTATGACCATTTTAAAAGTGTCAAAGCTGTCCCAAGTTGGAAGATAGCTATACTTCATTTTTTTCAAAAAGTGTACCTTTTTTCTACACTAGGCCATCTGAAAATCCAGATTTCATCTTTAAGTTCTTTTCATAACTCAAACAATATTTAACAATAGGAGGACAATTTGCATTAGTGGATTTATTTTCCTTTTGTAAGTTCATTGCCCGAAAGTAGAAATCAGCCAGTCAGTCTGTTCCCAAAAAACAGAAATACACTGCACATTGCTTGAAAGTCCTTGGGGATAAACACAAAATTGAGTTTATTGGGATTATTTGTGAATATGTGTCTTATCTGCTTTGGATATACATTTTGTGTACAAAAACAACCATAATACAAAAAAATTTACATCTTTCTCTAAAGTAAATGCCCCATTATTATGGCACAGATTTACGAGTTAATACTTCTCGTGCTCTATGAATGATTATGAACATTCTTGGACAAAAGTGCAGTTTATGGACCTCTGATGACCTCTCATGAGTGAAGGCACATAATATACCCACTCCACAGACCATAATAAATCCAAATGGTTTTGAGGCAACAACAAACAAAGTGAGCTGAAAACTAGAGCTATATTTCCAAGTCGGATAAGTTCAGATTATCCCGCAGTCAGGCTGGTGTGATGGTACTGTTTGTAGTCTGGTTACTAAAGCATAAGGACGCCAGCTGCTCACTCACTGGAGGCAGTACATAGGAGAGCAGAGATTCAGTTCAATTAGGAACATAGGAATTGCTTGGCGAAAAAAAACTATTAGATATACTTTAATTGAATTGACTGTATACTTTGTGGGAGGAACGTGACAGACAATTGCGCATAGCAGTGTCCCATAAAGTCGTGGATTGAGTGACCAATTTATTATTGTTAATTTTTTAAAAAGAATTATTACCCCCAGAAAAGCGATCTGCCAATCGACTAACAATCAGGTTCCTACTTACTGCTAGGTAAACGGAGGCGTGCAGAGTAAGGAACTTGGCCAACGTTTCGCTGGGATTCAAACCCAGATCTCTCACTTGCGAGGTGAACACTCTAACCACTGAGCTACAGGATGTAGTGGTTTGAACCCAGCAAATATAATACTGCATTGTGAAGTACTGAAGCAAAATGTTACGTATTTTGTTTATAAAAGTTTATAATGCATTTTCCACTTTTAAAACAGTACATCAAAATTCCTGCTCCTACACCAGACTGTCGCAATGGTGTGCGACGTTTTTCATTTTACTTGTCGACTGACAGCAAAGACCAGCCTCAGGCAAGCTTTGACTGCATCCATCAGTATACTTCTAGGTAAGAAAGTTACAAAATCACCACTCTGCATCTCTCTCTACGTTTAATGCGTCTGTTGTTTCTCTTCTTTCAACCATACTGTGCATGTGTGTGTCTTTGGGTGTGTATGTGTCTTTGTGTGCTTACTTAGATAGGATCTCTCTATCTTGGGTTGCTCAAGTAAAATCCCAAATAGGCTACAAATGCATGCAAAGTATGTGTACATGAACTAAGCATGTTGTTGACCCACGTGACGACTTCCGAGCATCTGAGCTGTGATCAGAGGTCAGGTAGTTGTGACGATATGAATAAGCGGTGTTTGTACTGTGGGTGTGTGGGTGTACATGTTTGCCTGTGAAACGTGATGGTGTCCTATTTCTATTTGGTGATTAAGCATTAAAAACCTTTTTTTTTTGTTGAAGACTATATTGAATAAAATTTACCTTTTTTTAATCAGTTTTGAAAGAACCAACTTGACTGTCTAGGGAGCATTCCAGAAAAAATTACAGTTTGTGCCACTGATGATTCCTACCAAATGACTAGAGAACGAATGTCACAGGTTGAGAAAGAATCTTGGAGTCGGACAACTATAGAAATTAAACCAGGAGCATCACAGCAAGGTATAACTGGTGTTGGCAGTCGGTGCCTCTGTATTGTGTTAATGCTTTCTCCAGGTATGCGGGGAAGCTGTTATTTTTGTAAGTAGGATACAATGTTTATAAATCAAGATTGGCCTATAGCTGCTGGATAGGATGGAATTCCTTCTCTTGCTTTGGAATGATTATTGTTAAAGCTGGACTCGGAAGAGTGTGTGTGTATGCGTGTCTTATGTGGCTGAATAGGCTTATTTTTGGTGGAAGAGAGACCCTGGATGCTTAATTCTTGTTTGACTGTTGGGACAGTTTGTGATGTTTTAATTCACCACAATCAAACATTTCTCCCCCATAATAATAATAATAATAATAATCCTTGCATTTGATATAGCGCTTTTCACGTCGGGAGGACGTCCCAAAGCGCTTCACAGAACACACTGTAAAGTGAATTGACTGTATATTTGTGGGCGAACGCGGCAGCCAATTGCGCACAGCAATGTCCCACAAACAGTCGTAGATTGAAAATGACCAATTTTTTTTATTATTGTTTTTTGGTTTTTTTGGAGGGATTATTATTATCTTGTTGATACTCGTCAACAAGGTGATGTCTCACCACTGTAATCATAGACATAGAATAATACTTAAAAAATTACAGGCCTCATCTCATTTATAACTTGTGTTTTTGTGTGCCATCCAGTGGCCACTTATATAGGGTGCTCACTACGATTTTTGTTTTGTTTTCTAGGCCTTCGCAAACTTGTCCACAGTCGAAAGCAACCCTCCAGCCCAGCCATTGATGGCATTCCATTTAGAAAACATTCCCCTCCTACAAATCTGTGCTTTGGACTGAAGAAAAGCAATGCCAGTCTTGTTGTCCATAAGCCTCTTAGGGATCGTATCATTCACCTTTTAGCTTTAAAGCCATATAAAAAGCCTGAACTAATTCTTTGGCTAGAAAGAGAGAAAAACGATCCAAAAGATAAGGCTGACCTACCATTTGTATTGGACCAGGTAAGGGAAAATTTGAAGAGAAAATCCACTGAAATAATAGTCAATGGAATAGGACTTCCATAGTAAAAGGATATCCCCTGTTTAACCCTGCAAGCCAAAGCCCTAACAGGTAATCTGGGCCTCACTGGACAAACAGCGAGAAGCTTACCAGACAGGGCTTTGAATGACAAACTGTGTGTTTTTAGCTGGTTAAACTCTAGCAGTGCCTCAGCACAAGTGTGGGGATCTTAAAACTTGGCTCTAGCCACCCTGTGCATAATAGTCATTGAAACTAAGAAAGCAGGACGCATCCCTATGGGGGAAGAGTGTGCATTCCATTCCAAATATAGGAATGTAGGTGACATGCATAGGACTCTGTTTGGATACTCTAAAGCAATGGTGATGGGTGTCTGCAGATATCAGATTCCCAGCTGACCCCAAAAAATCACTTTTTTGTTTTGCATTCTTCACATACTGCTGAAGTTGTGTTGGAATGGGATCCAATCCAGGCACAACTCCAGCAGTGTATGAAGGCATCCAATGCCTTTTGTGATATTTTTGGTTATGTTGTACACATCTGTTTCTAAATTGCTTTGATATACAATCGTTGCAACCTGTTCTGATGTCAATTCTGTTAAAATTCTTAGGTCTTGAAATATTAAGTATTTATAATGGGACAATCCTGTTATTAATTATTTAGTGCCAGGTTCTTGCACTAAAATATAGCTAACTACTATGATGTCAGATTGCCACCAATGGCATTTTCTGCATGTGAATGCTATGCTCAAGAAGTGCCAATGAGGTCAATTTGAAGTACCAATAAGGAAGTGACATCAGGGGAAACCTGATGAGCTGGAAGTTGGTAATTATTTTTGTGCTCTGTTTTAAAACTGAGCTTTTAAGACTTTGGATCCAGAAGACCACATTACACTGGAGTTGCAAGATATCTACAGATATAATGTTCATCACTGGAATGATATTCATGTATTGCCCTCAGTAGAACTTCTAGATTGCTTTACAGTTGGTCTTCTTCATATGATCTCTTGAGAATGTTACAGGTGCCCATGTTAGATTGAGCCAAGAGTTCAGTTACAATCTATTTTCAGAAGATAGACTAGTGAAATGCTATTAAGACACCTAGAGAGAAAAAAACTAAACTGCTAATTGGAAGGTCACATAATTAATGAACACAAATTAGTTTCAAAGGGAATATTACCTGGAGGAAGAAACAGCTTGCAACAAGAACACCCAACACTTCAACGCAGTTTTTGTATGTACAGATTTCTGATAAGGCCATCCAAACACAAGAATTCAAGGTGAATATGCCCTTAATTTAAAGGTATGAGAGCAACTGTGGTCGCATTTTATGAAAAACAATTTAGGAATCAGTATGGTGCTAGATTGAGGTCTTCTATAGGAGTGAGCAATGTACTACACAAAGTATGTCCTGGCCAATCCTAAACCATGGGGGTAAAATTTGCAGTATTCCCTTAATTTGACCTTGTAACGATGAGGCACAATATTTTCACCGCTCACTTAAACAATGCAGAAAATAAGTATTGAAATGAAAAAAATACTTATCTGATTCAAAACAATTTCCTGATTCAAAGTTAATTTTCCAAGTTAGCAACTGTTCAGTTTTTGTTCAGGTTATTCTATTCTGAATTTGAAGAATTTTATTTTCTCATTTTAGGTAGCAAAGTTGAACCAAAAGGACAACAGCTATACCATAAAAGATGAACTCTACAAGGAAGTCCAACAAGACTGGATTGGTTATAGTGAAGAAGAAAAACAATTAATAAGACGGCTCCTAATAAGGTAGATCACTTTAGTACATTGTATGTTTTAATTCAAACAAGTGGATATATGCAAGTTAATGTCACTTTGCTTGGGTTGCTGTATAAATTCACACTGGCTTCATAAATTGTGACGAAATCCATTGATAATTTGAATGAAGCTGGCTAGTTGGAAAGTGGGATAAATCCAGAGTAAATTACTGTTATAATTTAGGAGATAATCAAATTGTGATCAAAACTAGATCTGTGGATGAAGTTTTGAAGATTTTCCAAATCTTTACCCTACTTTTTCTTAGTCAATCAAGTGCGTTGTTAAAATACCATGGCTAATTTGAAGTTCAACACAACTACTTACATTTATATAGAGCCCATCATGTAGGATAATATCCTGGAGTACTTCTTTTGGATGATGAGCAAGGGAGATAGAGGGAGAGGGCTGAATGTGACTAAAAGCATGGTCAAAGAGGTAGTTTTTTTTAAGGTGGGATTTAAAGACTGGAGACAAGAAGAAGGGGTAGAGAGAGAGTTCATGGGTTAGGAGTGTAGTAATTGAAGGTTCAGCTATTGCAGAGAAGTACACACAGCCTAAGTTAACTGGGCGGATGGGTGACCTGAGGAGTGGAGTAGGAGAAGATCAGAAAGATGGGGAAGTGCTAGGGAATGAAGAGATTAATAAGTGAGGATCTTGAAGACGATCTGTTAGGAGATGGGGAACTAATAGAACCTGGAGAAAATTGGGATGCTGGACTGTGAAGTTTGTATGTGAGGATGTAGATGGTGGAGTTTGGGATTTGTTAATTATGAGGTTGTTGCATTAATTAAGATCTTGTATAATTGAGGATGGTGTCCTCTTTAATCCATTGTAATTTTAAAAAAATATTGTTCAATCATACTTATACCATTTGGTACTATTTGTGTAATCTTGTACAATTGCCATGCAATCACCAAATGAATCTGCATACTAGCATACACAATGAAAAAGTACAAAACTATACCATACCGATTGTTGAATGAAATTTTTGCTTGAATTTGTTTATAAATATCATGCGTGTTAGTTTCCAGTATCTGGCTTGTTAGTAGGCTATGTATTGCAACAAGGATAATTCTGCCAGCAACCAAGGTTTATAACAGAAATAACAGACTTCCCACAGTGACTTGTTTTTGTTTGAAAATGTCCGAAAAAGTAATATCACTCAGATGTGGCAATCCAGACACAGGATGTCTTTTCATGGCTGCTTGTCTTGGCGGACTGAAACTTGGCTTGCCAGTATGATTTCGGTTGATGGTGGGATATAGTGAACATACAGTACTATTGACTTGCAACTGTGGCTTAGAAAAAGTACATAAAAGCAACACTTGGAATTTCTTAAGTGGTATAGCTAATCTAGGCCTTCACAAATACAGAGGAATGCCCAAAAGAAATAAAGAAAGAAAACTTGTGTTTTTATAGCCATTGTAACATCAATTTCAATGCAATTATTTTAATGTGTAATTACTCTTTTTGTAGGCATTTTGAGAGTTCCACATATGCATGCCACCTACGTGTAGAAATTGTGCCTTGGATGGAAAGTTCACACGAGTACTTTGGGAGTACTGCAGACCTGCCTGGCTCAGGAACTAGACTACCGAGATCACACAGAGCATTAATTTGATTGTCAACTTAGAATAACTGTTGTGCACAACTGAAGTCCTACAAACAGCAATGTAGTGAATGACTAATTTATCTAAAGTTTTGTTGGCCCGGGCACCTGCAGAAACTCCAACTTTCTGACTGAGGCAAGAATGCTACCCATTTAACATGGCTAGTACATAGATTGATGCAAAAGTAGGGAAAGAGGAACTGAAATCACAAGAATGTTGCATTGAAATAAGGCAAACAATGAAAATTACTCCAATATTCTTTTATTATGCATTTTTCTTATCCACTCTCTTCCATTCTTGCAATCTTTTAATAGTTCAGAGCATGCACTTCTGTTGTTATTGTATCTTTTCATTTTCATGTCCTTGTCATTTCACGGAAAAAGTCATTGTGTGCAGAGATTAACAATCCACCATATGTTTTGTTGAATTAGCAATGACTTAGCCTTGAATTTAATGAGGTGCAGCACTTCATAAATTTGAGGCAACATTTACCAAAATCACAAATTCAGTAAGGAACAGTATATCCTGCTGAAATATTAAATTCACAAAATAGATGTGCTGAGTTTTTCCAACTTAATCTAAACTTTCACCTGCCTTAAAGCAGAATTATGGTGGTGGCTCTTGGTGAATGCGAATTTAATAACTTGCAGAAAGTATTGTTTCTTTTGTATTATATAAACTTTGGAGATGGCTCCAAGGTCGCTTGGTTGGCAATGGAATGTGAGAATTGAGTCACTTTCTGTGGCAGTCTCATCTGTTTTTTGAGCAAGATCGATCTGCAGTATTCAAGGGCATTGCAAATAACTAACCAGCCAGTCTAGATGATCAGCAGAACTTTGAGGTGCAGACCAGCCACAAAGAGCAGGGCTTCTTTCCAGTCAGTTCCGGACCTGGCTGGACCTCCTCAAAATTTACCGCTCCACTCTAGCCTCGGCCAAGTCGTCCTTCTACTCCAGGATAATCCTGGAGGCGAAGAACAACCCCAGGCTACTGTTTTCCACCACATCCCGACTCCTCCGTCCCCCCCGCCACCCCGCGCAGGTCATCTCCTCCAACCTTCACTGCGAGGAGATGCTGGATTTCCTTGAATCCAAGATCAAGGGAATCCGCTCCGCGGTCACTTCCCCTCCAACTTCCACCCACCACCCACCCCTTCCCTCCCACACTCCGACTCCTACCCATCCTCCCCTACACACCTTCGTACCCGTTTCCCCACCCTCTGTCACTGAACTCATCCTATCCCTAAAACCAACCACCTGCTCCCTTGACCCCATCCCCACTCCACTCCTTATCTCCCAGCTCCATTTTCTTGCCCCACACATCACTGACATCATAAACCTGTCCCTCTCCTCTGGCTCTGTCCCCATTCCATTAAAAACTGCCATCATCACGCCCACCCTGAAAAAACCCTCCCTTGATGCGTCGCAGCTATCAAGCTACCGGCCCATCTCCAACCTCCCCTTTCTCTCCAAGGTCTTGGAAAGAGTTGTCGCCTCCCAACTGCGCTCTTTCCTCTCCACCCATTCTCTTTTCGAACCCCTTCAGTCAGGTTTCCGTGCTGCTCATAGCACAGAAACTGCCCTGGTCAAGGTCACCAATGATATCCTGACCATCTGTGACCAGGGCTCCCTCTGTCTCCTCGTCCTCCTCGACCTATCGGCAGCATTCGATACGGTCGACCACGCTATCCTACTCCACCGCTTGTCCTCCCACCTCAACCTTCAAGGCACTGTCCTTGAATGGTTTAGCTCTTACCTTTCCCACCGTCTTCACTTCGTCTCAACGAATGGCTTCTCCTCCACCCCCCGTACTGTCTCATGTGGTGTCCCTCAGGGCTCTGTCCTCGGTCCCCTCCTCTTCACCCTCTATATGCTCCCCCTCGGTGACATCATCCGCAAACATGGGGTTAACTTCCACATGTATGCGGATGACACCCAACTCTACCTTTCCTCCTCTACTCTCAACTCCACGACCACCGATGTCCTGACAGCCTGCCTGTCCGACATCGAGTCCTGGACGAGAGACAACTTTCTTCAGCTCAACGTGCGAAAAACCGAGGCCCTCCTGATTGGCTCACGTCAGCGCCTCCGCACCTCAGGCGCTGACACCATCAGCATCCAAGGCTGCACTCTCCACCTCTCAAAGCCAGTCAGGAACCTCGGCGTTTTGTTCGACCCTGAGCTGTCCTTTCTCCCTCACATCCGCACCACAACTGGCACCGCCTTCCATCACCTCCGGAATATCGCCAGACTACGGCACTACCTCACCCCTCACGCTGCTGAAACCCTGGTTCACGCCTTTGTCACCTCAAGGCTGGACTATGGGAACTCTCTCCTCGCCGGCCTTCCCGGCACCTCCCTCCACAAGCTGCAGGTCATTCAGAACTCTGCAGCTCGTGTACTGTCCCGCACCAGGCTTCGGGACCACATCACTCCTACCCTCGCTCGCCTCCACTGGCTCCCCATCCCCCAGAGGATTGATTTCAAGATCCTCATCCTCACCTACAAGGCCATTCACGGCCTTGCTCCCTCCTACCTCTCCAACCTACTATCCCCCTACCTACCTGCCCGTACCCTCCGTTCCTCTGGCTCCGGTCTGCTCCACGTCCCCCGCCCCAACCGCCCTACTATCGGTGGTCGGGCCTTCAGCCTCTCAGCCCCGAGGCTCTGGAACTCCATCCCCCAGTGCCTTCGCCTTGCTTCCTCCCTTTCCTCCTTCAAGGCCGGTCTCAAAACCTTTCTCTTTGACCGTGCCTTCAGCTCCCCTCTCGACTCTCTTCCTCCTCCTCGCTCCCTCCCTTCCCTCCCCTCACCCTGACCATTTCCCCCCTCCTCTCTCCCTCCCTTCCCTCCCCTCACCCTGACCATTTCCCCCCTGCTCGGGTCATGACCCAACTGTGCAGCGCCTTGGGACGTCCTCCTGACGTGAAAGGCGCTCTATAAATGGAATCTTGTTGTTGTTGTTGTTCCTTTTAACACTACAAGCCAAAGCTTTAATGGGTAGGACAGCCCTAGCTGAACAAGGGACGTAAAGCTTACCAGACATTCTGATAATGACAAGTCTTGTGGTTTTAGCTGGTTAAATTCCAGTCGAACCCCAATGCAATGTAGAGTTCCCAAGCTTTGGTTTTCGCCAACCTGCACACACTAATCTTTGGTATGAGGTAAGCAGGATGTTTACTTCCAGTAAGAGAGCATGCTTTGTATTCCAGACATGGAAATTTCCATGTGTAAATGGCATTAAATATGTGGAACTCTGTCTTGTCTGGATACTCTTAAGCATGGCGATGGGTTTCTGCTTGTGTCAGCCGCTCGACTGACCCAAAAAATTACAATCACAATGTTTGTCAAAATAAATCTAAGTCAACAGTCGAAAGTGTTGTTGACAAAATCTTTTGAATAGGCTTATTATCTGTTTTTAAATTTATTTCTGCATACTTATTTTCTCAGTTCTGCCTGTTATATTGTAAGATTCTCGTTTATTTAGGAGCAGAACCAATAGCGATAGTAGAGTTTTGAATCAGACCTTTTGTGGAGAAATGTGTTGTGTAGATAACGGTTTGACCTTGGATAATAACATTTTACTTTCAGTAATCAATCTCTATCTAATTCCTCTGTTTTAGAAAATTGAAGCCATCAAATTCTATTCAGACCAAGAGTTGTCAACTTGGTTCTCTATTCCAGAAATCCTCAGGGGAAGGTTCACCACAATTGAGCCCTCGCAAAGATCCTTTGTTGGTAAAATGGCAATTTTAATTTCCATATGATTACTGTAGTTTCATTAAATAAGCTGCTGGCCACATCTAAAAATTGTCCTTTGGATTTGGAGGGTTCGTTTGGAACTACATATGAGGAGCTTTCAAGAATTCTTCCCCCTGAACATCTAGAACTCCCTCCGTCTCACCTTTTCTCTGTCTGGCTTTGTTCTGCCTTAAAACCTACCTCTTTGAATGTGCCATGGCCACTTCCCCTTTCCCCCAACCTTTCTCATAACCAGCCCCCATCTTTGTAAAGTGCTCAGATGTTGCCCTATATGAAGGGTGCTATATAAAATACAAGCTGTTATTAATACATAAAACTCTTGAGAATTGAGATCTCTGTATGCAAGAGAGCAACAGTATGGAATTAAGGTTTGTTTTAATGTATAAGATGAAATGGGAGTGTTGCAAATGCATGTGTCAACTGGCATTAATGCAGTGTAGGGTATGCAGGGCATTGGAATTGCAAATATTTAAAGTGGAGAGCTTTGGTCAATCAATGTTAATTCCATTTTTCCTTTAACAATTTTTTTTAAATGTTTGTAAAGACTTTTTCAGGCTCCCATTTAATGAAATTAAATGCAAATTTAAATGATAATGACCCCAAAATGGTTTGGTGAAAACATCAGATTGGAAAGAAGTTTCATTGTTGTAAATTGTTACATAATTACTCAGCATTAATCATAAAATATACGTCCCGCTTGTCATTGAGTAGGTTATAGTAAACAGTTACTATTGCTTTTGACTAAAGAAGTCTCATATTTCCAGAAACGGCCGATGGATTCAGAATCTACAGATTTGCACACAAACAAGAAAAGCAAAGTACCGCAGTCAAAAAGTCATCTTCAACCTGTTTTGAACGGACGTCACCCTTATTCAAAGATGTAACGTTAAGCTTTACTGCCACAACGGATTCCAGTGCAACTGTTAAAACGGAGTTCCAAAAACACACCATTTTACCTGAGAATCAAAACGGGTTTAGTGAACGGTACAGAAAGTACAGCTGCTCAACAGAAACTCACGTGAGCAGGAATAAGCACTTCAAAGACAACAGAGATGTTACCAGAGATCCGAGACGTCATGTGCCAGCTGTAAGAACAATCTTTCAAAGCAACTTAAAAAGAACAGATTATTCCTTTTCACCAGAGACGAAATTCTCTAGTCACAGTAAAAAATCCAAAAAACACAAAGAAAAGGAGAGGGAGCATACAAAACCTGAAGGAAAAGTGTGGCTTGAAGAGAGTACGGTATGCAGGGTTGGGAAGGAACATGGAGAGGATATTAAAGGTAAGAGATATCTGTTTTTATAAAGTGTTCTGATTAGATGTTCCTTTTTGAGCTTAGTTTATTGAGTATTAGATCTATCATGACATTCTGGGTTTGAATCCTTTTAACTGAACACAGCCCTTGATCCTTTTGAGGTTAATAACTGCCACCTATTTCAATAGCATCTTCCTGTGAGGAGGGGTAATTAAGCAGGCCTCCTCATAAAATCAAGTAGGGCATTAAGAATTCAACGCATTTTTTTGCAGTTTATTGGATGATTTGGCTTGCCAATGACAATTGGAGCTCCAATACTTTTCCATTAAATGCTCAAACTGTGAGTTCATTTAGATTACACATAGTTTTGAGGTTTAAGAATTAAATTACCTTTAACTAACCCAATAGTCCTGCAGAAAGTACAGAGGTTAATATAGATAATTCACTGTCATCAGTAGCAAATATTTTTATGCTTTCTTGTTCATCCTGCTTCTAATATCTTTCTGTTTCTGCTTATTCGAGTGAGTTAGATTTGTTCTGGGAGCTCATGGATATCTCTGCTTTGCAATAATGAATTTACTCTAGGGTTTTAGAGCCATTTAATCAATTGTGTGGCATTTGGGTGAATTCTGAAACAAGCAGATGTAAAAAGAGGATGAAAGAGAGGAAGAGCCAAAAAAATGGGTCAAGTGAAGAAGAGTTAGGAAAGGGGGGAGAGAGATTGACATTTCATCAGAATAGTAATTCTGCTTTTGTTTGGTTGATGTCAGAGTTCCATGTTTAGTTCTGTATCACTGTTTTTCTTGTAATTTATTATGGGTTAAGGGAAGGAGGAACTTATAAAGTAATCTTAGGAGAGGGAACTTAAGTTTACTTTTAATAAGTCAATTCAGCTCAGTCTCACACCAAATACTCAATATTTGAGAGCATGACCGCTACTCAAATCTGACTTTTGCCTATGAAATATTTGGCTTGGATATTGTCAGCTGGACGTCTGAATGACACCGCCTTTAAGTGTAAATACCCTGGGTCAAATTGCCTTTGAGTGATGCAAAACAAAGCAAAAATTAGCTACAATTAATTATTTCTGCAGGAAATACAATAATTGTAAATGTATGGGTCAGTGCTTATATTTTAATTGATATGAATTTACTTGCCCCAATATTAAATGCAATACAATTGCCTGCTATTTTGATTTAACTGACTCATAATCTGAATCAGAAGTTTTTTTAAAAATAAAAATTTCTACTTTAACATACTTTCACATGCTTTGTTTTAGCTGTAACAATTACAAAATGTGCTGCTTTTTTGAAGAAAATTATAAGTTTTGGTGGCATTTATACTCTTTTATGTGTACTCTTACGTATGTCAATAAAGAGCTTCCTCTTTATATTTCCAGTCGTGTTAGCTGCTTGCTCAAACATTGTATCCCAGCTTTTTGGAAATGTGGCAGGTGTAGTGAGGGCCATTTGCTTTCAGCTGTGTACACAAGGGTCAAGGAATTTTTCCTTTCATTTTGTTGATCATTGACCTCAAAACAGCAATGAAGATCCATTAACCAAAGTAACAGTTTCAGTGTAAGTCGAAAAATCGATCCTAGGCTGTTACTAATACCTGTTACCAGGAAACCTTCATGTTATTATCATTGCTAATTAGTAAGGTCCGTTGACAGTAAATATTTTAGTTAGTAAATAATCTGTACGATCTTTACTTATCTACAGAGCATGAAACCACAAATGCATCTGCCACCGCTACTTCGACAACTGAAATGCCTGACTATTTATTGTGAGTAGCATTGTAATTCAGTAATTAGTTTGCATCAGGAAATTGCTGCATTTAGTGAAGGCAGTATGTTCTTACCTTACATCTGTAGCCTATGCATCTTAATTCAGTAAGATTTATATTAGCTAATTGTCAAACTACAGAATATGAAGTAAAGACACCTGGAAGAACTGATATTGACTTTGTACCAGCCCTCGGTTGCACCTAGAACGTTGATGCTGATTGGATTGTCATAATGTGAATAGGGAAGTGGAAGGGTTTCCTGATGGCAAAAGGATATCAATATCGATTTCCATTTGGGGAAAAGGAGTTTTGATTGCAGGGCACTTAAGGAAACATCCTTACTCTGGATCAGGTGGGCGTCAATTAGAACTAAGGATCGCTCACAGAAAGAATCATTCATAAATTTATCAGCTAGATTATTTATTGTGCTGTCTTGCGTCCATGAAGTAGACATTGAGATTTTTTTGGTGACTTGGATGTCAAAATGTGTGATCTCTTGGACAGCAATGGATTCATGCCCAGTTTGATACTCAGTGCCTATAGTATACGAGCATTAATGGTGCAATTGGAGGTGTAGCAATGTTGCAAACTAAGCTAGGTGGATCAGAGTTCTGCAGACAGCAAGGCATTAAGGTTACTTCTATAATTAGGAAAAGATTTTCTAGGCATAAAGCTGTTGCATGTTCATTGGGTGATTTCAAGGATATTAGCTCTTTTTGAAGGACTATTAGATGAGCAAATTGAAGCTAGTTTTGGTTACAAGCAGTCCCAGCAAAGTTTATGGTTATTCCAGGCGTGCCTGGGAACACACCGAGGCAACGTTCATCCTTGGTGAATCTGACTAGCAATAATAGCCCTTTCTCGTGGCTTGGTAGATTAAGGGACTAACAAAGGAACTCAAAATGAGCAACAGACTAGGAATTACTTTTTTTGGGGGGGAGGTGGTGGATGGGTCAGCTGGATGTCTTGCATATGCTGAATTCCATCGTCAAGTATCCAAACCAGGGCATCACATATATATTCCACCTACATATAGAAATGTCACTATGCCTGGAATGGAATCCTCCATCTCAACCTGGAGGAACATACCCTGCTAACCACATTCCTCCCCTGCAAAGGAGAATAGTGATTGGTTGGTCAAGTTAAGCTGATCTGTGCTGAATAAAGGTGCTTCAAAAGGCTATTCATTATTTCATTATTATTCAGACTCCCAAAAATGACACCTCACATAAAAATTGCTACTTAGGCAAAATAACATTTGCATGTTTGTTGACTGAAGAATGTTAGATTATTCATTATAGGTGTGGTTTGTCATTTAATGCAGTGCAATCAGCACATCCTTGTGGTAAAACTATTAAGACTAACCCTTATCCTGAATTTCATGTGATATTTCTTGTATTGCAGGCACACGATTAGGGATGTACATTTTATGAATTGTCCATTATTTTAACTTTAATATAATTGTTTTTAATCTATCTATTGTCTTAGTCTTTGGACTACACATTCATATTTTATCGACATACCTTTCCAGAAGCTCTGTCAGGCTAACCAACAACATAATTAATTGTTTATAGTGCTTCAAAGAGGGGTGGGTAGGTGTGTGTGTGTGCTCGCGTGCATTATAATCATTGATAATATTATGTAATTTCCAACTTGGAAGAAAACTGTCCAGAACATCTCAGGACCTTTGTTTGGGCTGGATGCAGGCATCCCTCAAAATGGCTCTAACACCTCCCAGAATTTTTTTGTTTAAAATACCATTTATTTTCCTTAACATTAATGATTTATGTCATTGTTTGGTGCGTAATATCAATCCCCATTTCCTTTGCTAAACGAGGATGAGTTCCAATAAAGCTGGGTGTACAGTTGTGGGGCACGAAGGTCTTAATATTGCATTGAGTTCAAACCATTTGGCTTTTTCTCGCTTTTTTTCTCAGAAATGTTTGTGTGGAATTCTATTGCATTTGAAGAAAGAAAAAGACCAACCACACTTATATAGAGCAATTTAACATATTGTAATTGAATAAATGTTTCAATGTAGTTGCTTTCATTCAACAAAAATGGCGGTTGTGTTCTTTTGCATTCTCCATTTTGCTTAAGATTTTTGTCCAAATGTGTCTTATAAATAAATGATGGAAATATATTTTAAGTACATAATGTGATTTTTCAAAGTAATTTCAATTTTATGTTTTCATAGTTAATGTGGTGAGGTTTAAACAAACTGGTTTCCTGTACAATATGCAATCTGATTTACCATTTAAAGTATTACTAAACGGGTTGTGAATTTGTAAAATTGGATATATATTTAAGAATACATTTCTTGGGACAGTTAGTAGTGATTGAACTGTCACTAATCAAGTGTTTATCAGGGAGCCATCATGACATCTTTCAATTGAACTGACCTGAGCTGTTAGCAACAAGGAAAGATAATTGTTGTTTCAATATGGGTTCCTAAATAGCCTTAAAAAAATGGACATGCTGCTTGAATACTGAAGCATTTTAGGTGAGAATTCTGGCTAAAGATCCCTAAAATTGCTGCCACCTCCTGGCATACATTTTAATTCAATATAATTCAAATTTGTTACCTAACCCTGCTTGTAAATTAATAGTATACAATTGTAAACTATTTACACAGTTGGCATTTCAGATGCATTGTTGAGAAACTTTTTTTTGTAAGCTCCTCTAATTGTTTTCCTTTTTGAATAAACATCTTTGTCGTAAGGTTCAGTTCTCTCATCCCGACGATTACAGGTTTAAGTCTTACTGTTCCATTACTCTGAAATTAGGTAGCACAGTTTTTTCTCATGTTTTTGGCTTTAATATTGGATGATCTGGCAATAACATGATCTACAGTCTTGGAAAGAAAGGCCAGGAAATGTGCTTGCTCTGTTACAGACAAACATCTTATTAATACACCAGAATAGGATTCATGAGAATTGGTGGGAAAGCTATAGCCAGACCAAAATTTGATTATTAGCTAGCAAATAATTGTGAGTGCTCACATGGGTAGCTAGGGCTGCATTTTTAAAATGAAAATCTGTACAACCAATAGGTTGACCTTTTCTCCTGCTTTCAGCCTCCCCCCCTCCCCTCTGATTTTCTTCAGTTGAGAATATTCTTCAATTCTATTTGGTGTAATAATTGATAGGTTTCATACTAAAGTTCGCTTTTTCGCATTATGTAGAAGGCTGCATGGTTTGAAGGCTTTGCTGTAATAGTAAAATTATTTTTGCAGAAAGTACACTACCATTAAATCTTTAGAACGGTGTCGAAGCTATCGGAATGATTTCAATGCAGAATATGATGAATACAGGGACCTTCACGCAAGAATTGGAGGTATAACAGAACAATTTGTACAACTTGGATCAAAAATCAAAACACTTAGCCCAGGAACAAAGGCATACAAGGTAAGAGATGGATTGCAGGTTATTTAATCGACGGAGGCTCACACGTTCAAACTTTGATTTGCAGATTTTGTTGTTGATTGCTTGGTAAAATTGTTATTTGTGGAAAATATATGTTGTTAGCGTAAAAATTGGGGTCTATCCAGGACTGACCCCAATAGCCATGAAGTCGGGTTTCAAAACTTAGGATACAGTATATTTTAAATGAGTTTGGTTTTAAGAGCGAGTTGCCATCATTTTGTTCATGGCATTGTTTTTCAGAGGGTGGAGGACCAAATATTTCAGGAATATAAGAAGTTAAAAAAGGTACACCACTTTATTTATTCGGGGGAAATGTAGTGAAGCAAAGTAATAGCTAACGGTTTTGTTTGATGACATTCTTTAAAAACGTAACTATTTAAATGAATATCAAGGATTTGATATGGTTGTTTAATATACATGTTTGGTTATTATTGTCTAAACTATACATTTTAGAACGACTGATTTTAATGACCTTTCACTTCATTATCCTGCATTGGTATTTTAAATTTTACGTTTCTTTTCTTCCACAATCCAGCAAGTGAATTTTCAACTACAAATAAATGACAATTATATTGACTATATTTATTCAGATTAGAGATTAAATTAGTTTTGGGATTTATTTGTTGAAATAAAATAGCATCGTTTCCTTTTCAGACTTATCCTACTTATCGAGAAGAAAAGGTTCGATGCGAGCATCTGCATCGGAAGTTGGCTCACATTAAACAGTTGATATTGAAGTATGATCGGAACAACATGCCATGATGGGATACACCATCAAGCGCATCTGTTTGTGTGAAGACTGATTTTTAGAAGAACCATTTTTACCTTTTTTTAAAAAGAAAGATTGCTCACTGCAGTTTGAAGAAGTTTGAAGAGAAACACAATAACTTTGTCAATGAAGGACTGAGCATATCAGCAATGTTAACAAGTTTGCATACCAGCAATTTCTCCAATCTGAACTGAGCCACACAGAAAGCTGTTTATACATTAATACAGTACAATGTATATATTGCATCATAAAACAAGAAGAAAATAGTACTGTTGTATAATATTAGAAAATAAATGTTTTTCATCCAAGATGCCTTAATATGAATTTTAAACCGTCTGCCATGCATCTCCAAGGGGCCAACCTTTATATGCAGTAGGATTTTCTATTAATGCTCGCATCCCATATATTAAAAAATCAGGTTTAGGCAATATAATGCTGACATTTAATCAAACTGCCCACATTTCATCAGCAATATTGCCTTAAGGTGCTTTTCCGTCCCTTAATGAAACTGACTATGAGTTGCGTGTGTGTAGTGTATGTGTTTTCTCTAGTGACCTTTCTGTTTTTCCCTCTTTGTGATTTTTAAACCAGCCTGAAGAATTCAATGATGCATCACTGAATTCCAGTGGGTATAACATAGTATCAACTCAGTGACCAACTTCAAAACAAATACTGTACATTTATGCAAGTTAACTTAAAAAAAAATCCTCCACAAATTACCAAATGTGCAAACAATGTTCACACTTTTGCATTGGAAGTGATTTCTTCCTTGCCCTCAAAGCTCTAATTTTCACCATCTTGAGCAAGAAATTTATTGTATTTGAATCAAAATTTAAATAATTTTAGAAGCATTGACTCTTGAAAGAAGATTTTATGCAGAAGTGTTACGGTAAATGTTTTTAAAATCCATAATCAGTAAAAATTTATTTCAATGGATGTCGTAACAATCAAGACAATATAGTAAATGCATATATATCAACCTTGTGGAATTGTGTCTTTACTGTTGCTTTGTGAAAAATATGAAAATTTGCAAGCCACTATGTGTATCCAATCTTTTTTTTAAAAAAACTGTACATCTAATTTATTTCTTTTTCTTTTGCTTTTTTGCACAATTGAAGTGATAGATATTCTGGTGGCTGAGGTGAATATGCAATTTACGAAGGGTGGTCAATATGGCAATGTGTGTACTGCCTACATCATTTAAAGACTGTATGAAGTACAACCCAATACAACTCCTCTTTTCCAGCAATGTGTCATCTTGAAGCCAATTACTGGCTTTTTTTGTGGTGGCAGTATCAAAACCGGCATTGATGTGAGGTAATCTGTGCCTATACCTACTTGAATTATTCCACATTTACCAAGTGCTCCTATTGCTGAACATTTAATTGTTTATGCAAATCATTTGGAACTATTGTGATTTTTTTTGTGGAATAATTTTCATGCTGTGTTGGAAAATCTGAAATGAAACTTTTTTTAATCTTAACTTTAATAATATTAATATCTCAATATTTAACTTTATCTTTATCCTAAGATGTAACGATGATTGTGAGAAGGTATCAGAATGGTGATTTTGTAAGCAGTGCCCCCAAGACTAGCAAAGTTAACTGTGCCAATATCTTTGCCTTAGGTTTACTACAGGCAGGTCTCAGGCTTGTTTTGTGTACTTGATGGTCACTCAATTTCAAAGCCTAACATTCTTTTCATTTTGATGGCACTGCTATCATCAATTTTTAAAAAGTGATTTCTAAAGATTGTTAACCATGTTAACATGCATTGAAGATCATAAAACGACAGTCTGAGCTATTATTGCAAGTAATTTTGAAGCAGGCTGTATTGACACACAATGAGGCTTCAGTGACAATAGATCCCATGTTGCTTGGACATGCTGTGGAGAAATATCCATACTAAAAATGTCCGTGTGCACATACACCACTTCACATTAGACCACTTGTACCATTTTCATTGATAGTACAATCATCTTGAAAAGCAGGTGTGAGATCTGAAATGTTATCACTGGAAGCTTGTTTTACCTAAAGTTTGACTTTTTTTACTTCTTTCATCTTTTTGTCTGTTCTCATTTTAATTTACATGTCACCTTAACACTTGTGCTTAAGTAAACTCCTATGTGTACATGTGACATGGCTATTCACGTGCCTAAAAAATAGGACAATAAAAATATTGAAAAATGTGTTTAAAAAAATAATGAATACCTGGCCAGAATTAATAATTAATAAGGAAATAGCTGCAAGCCACACTAAAATGATTTGGAAGTATTTTATCCAGTGCCCTTTATTTCAACAGAAACACACATTCCAGCCTGTACTTCAAACGTATTTCAATGTTACAGAGGCAGAAATTGAATATTTTATGTTACACTGAAGAATTTAATGGTATAATTGCAATGTGATGGCTGTTGGGATTTTAAGTTTTTTATTTTTAACATAGCATTTTCTTTTCCAGCATTGACTTAGATAACAAGTTTACTGCTCAAAGACTAAATTTCTAGTTAAGACAACGTTTGCTTTCACCATGTCTTAGATCAAGATCACGTGGTTAGCATTAACCTTTTAAAATTTTAGTACGTGACGACTTCTGTGTGTTGAGTAAGGTCTATGATCTGGTTATTTAGGGTGGTTGAACTTCTAACCCTCTTGAAGACTTGAGAATATTCCTAAAAATATAATTTGGACAGTATTAAGACCACATATTGCTAATTTATAGCTTTAAATAATGTTTAAATCCTTTGTTTAAGTAGAAATAACATTATCATTCAACATGACCAGGAGAAAATGGGTGTCAACACAATCTAATTTAGTTTAACTGCTCTGATGCTATTTATTTCAAATATAGATTGGGTATGCAGTGCTAAATACAGCAGCTTGTGATCTCTGGCTTGTCAATTTTGAAACAATTTTTCTTCGAAGTGTAACCTGGTGAGTAGCAAAAAAACAAAAGCTGCAAAATTCAGAAAGAATCCTGGCCTGAAATTCTACCCAGTTTTAGTTTGCAAAACCAATTTGGAACCTGTTTCCACAGTATAAAGAGCCAGCTTTCCAACTAAGACTATTAAGAATTTCAGGTTTCCAGCTGCTGTGCCCTGAAATGCGGTTGATATTCTCAAGTACTAGATACTTTCTCTCTTCCTCTTAAACTTCAGTTATCGTGACCTTTCTCATCCTTCAATTAAGGGCAGCAGACTGATTCCTTTTGCCAGGCCATTTTAACCTTGTTCTGCAATCCTGCTCTGTGCCCAGCCAAGGGTACCAGTTGCAATGGTGGAGGGAATCAGTGGGAATTAAATCAGCCAGGATTTACTCCTCATTCTTATCCAGTGCCTTCTGTCTGGAAGATGCAGTTGTGTGGAGGTTGAGTAAGATTAGTGTCATGTTGTGAGGCCATCTCCAATCGAATAGCTGACACTGCCTAAGTTTGCACATCAAGTATGCCCACGTGAATTGAAGTACCAGGGAGCAATGGCATCTGTGCTTCAGCAGCCCAGTGAGGAAACGAGAAAATGAGCCCAAATTGTAGACGACTGGGCAGCTCTTATTTTCAATTCATCTTTTCTATATTGGTAGTCACATTCACAATTAATCAGAACACCTTGTAACTTCAGCAACAATTTGTTCAAAACATTTTTGTCTTGTCATTTTACAATCTGTTGAAGGTGCTGTCCTGATTTACATTGAGCTTCTGCTCTCCTTCAATATTACCCAAGACAGTATTCAGTGGTTTAACTGATACATGAATGTTAAGATGCCAGCACTAATGGGACCAAATTAACACATTTGACACAAATTGACAATCAATTACACTACAATAATCAGATGTTTAATTTGAGTTATTCCGAAAAACGACTGACCTCTCAAAATAGCGACTGACCTCTCAAAATAGCCAGATCACAATCCTTTGTATAATTGTGAATACAGAATGATTTTATCTTGTAGCTATATGCTTTGCTGTGCATTGCTTATAAACATATGCTGGATTTGTCAATTCTCTAGTTGTAAACATGTGATTGTATTACTGCAAATGTGTCTACATTTTCAAAATAGACAACATTTTAAAAATGTGTCTTTCCAACTGCAATTTGTAACGTCTTAATAAAGCACTCTTGATTTTAAAAATGCACCCCTTTTTATTTGTGACTCCTTCCCCTCTACACCGAGCTTTCATCTGCCATACCCTTCATCTTAGGAATTCCTTCCCTCTACCTTCTTTAAATCTCACCTTAAAACCTACCTCTTCACTGTGCCTATGGTCACTTTCCCCTCTCCCTTGCTAGAGGTCCAATCCAGTCACTAAAGTGCTCAGAAATTATCTGACATGAAGGTTGTTGTGTGAATATTAAAGTTAATTTTAGTAGTAAGTATTTCCAGGTTGTCACTGAATTGATTCTCTGCTGGCAGCTAATTTTTTCAGTTCTTCTCCCTAAAAATCAAATTCAAAATTGAAACAATCAATGTATTTCTCCACCATGAGATGAGAGTGATGAGTTTGATCAAAAAATATTCTGTCAAATTGAAGCTCTGATTTGGTTCAAGTTGGCACTTTTCACTTGACAGTCAGCAAGTGTTTGATCCTCAAGTTGAGATGTACATTTGAAATGTGTGAAGCTTGCCTCCAGAGAGGTTGTTAATCTGCCAATGGAATTTAAGATGCCTACCAATCTTCTGGAAAAGTGAAAGACTATCACATAAAATAAATGACATAGACACCTCAGTTGTAAGACCAAAGTAAAATAACTCATAATACATTATAGGCAGAGGAGAAATATCTGAGTTATTCCTGCTGAACAAGATAGTTTTTGATGTATTAACTGCACTTGAATTGAGTCTCAAAAAGAAGCAAAGCAGTCCTGGTGGGAACAGACCCAGATACAATTTATGATGTAGCCACCTTGCAGCTTTTCATTTCGTCCACAAACACACAATCACTCTTTACAGTAAATTCAATGCTTTGAGATGTCGTCTCGATGTGAAAAGCACTATGTTAGTATTATTTCTTTTGAATTCTCTCACTTTTCCAGAATTTTTTATTGCGCATCTTGGAAATTCCAGTGCCAAGAATTACAGATGCAGGTACAATTTCAATGAATATTGATGCTGGTAATATATTACTCCAAAAGCACTGATCAGAAATACTTTTGATTTCTTGTTAATTTCAACTTCAATATTTCCTTAGTGCAGATTTAATATCTCCGCAAGTAAAATTTGCCTATGAGTAATGGAAACGTGATTACAATTCATTAAAAATTTTTTGAAGCACTTGTGCAGTTCCAAGCGCTGAGATGCAGAATAGAAAATTATTCCCTGTGCCTGAATAAATTATGCTAATACACTTAAATACCAAAAGTATATTAATGATCTCATACACAAATGATACAAACTACATTCCCCATCAATGTATGATGCCGTAAACATTGCTGAATAAGTAACTGAATCTATTTGCTGCTCTGTAAAATTTTGCAGGGATTTGAGTTTTCCATCTATGTTACTAGTGTTTGAGATCAAGTCCCAGATGATATTTGCAAAATTTGCCTTCTGAGACTCGTTTGTTCAATCAAGTTTAATTCTTTTTACGGTTCTAATTTACTAACTATTACAACTTTCTCCTTTGATATTTTCAATGCAGGGTAATTTAGGCCTGAACCTTGAATTGTTCATCAAAGTAGACTTGAATTAGAACTACATTTCAGAATATTAAAAGTACATCTAATCCTATGGCAATAATGAAGCTGATGTGTTTTTATCTGAGTTTTTGCACACTGGGGAGTATTTTAACTCCGAGTATTGCTTTGTGCCAAAAGCATCCCTAGTGTGCCAAACCCCTATAATAAATGCACATCATATTCATTATTGCCCAAGTAATTGT